CGAAAAACATGTCCGTAGAGTGGGTCCGGTACAAATGACACAAACCTACTTTTTTTTTTTTGTGTGCCGGTGTAATTTATTTAAAAATATTATATACATATATACATATAGAATTAGTAACTTAAAAATGATATTTTGATAATTACAAGAATTTTACATCTTACACTGTTAAATCTACAGTGTTAAACTGAACCTTATTTAAGTCGCCACTGTTCCTACTTAATAAATAATTATAAAACAATGGTTAACTAATTTCAAACAGTTTAAATTTAAGCCAAATTTGGGTTAAATTTCATTATTTTATTTAAAAATAACTATTTGTTAAGTAGGAGTAGTGGTTACTTAAATAAGATTCAATTTGACACTACAGATTTAACAGTGTACATTAAAAAAAATAAATTTTAGTCTTCTAAATTTTATTTTAAATGCTATAGACATCTAGAAATATACATATACTACACGTAAGAAAAATTTTTGTTTTTTTTATATGAAAATAAGCAATATTCTTTTTCCTAAAATTTTTTAAATAATTTATTATAAATATTTTAAATAAAAATCTTTGATACAAATAATATACGTATATTTATAATATACGTATATTTATAATATATTAGATTAAAATTTATTTTATTACGAAGACTAATTGTATGTAGATATTTATTATTTCTACTAAAGGATTAAAATTTTTTACAAGTTTATAATAAATTACACTTTTGCAATTTTTCTGTCCCAATCGGTGGCGCCGCCTGCAGTTCGCATCGGTAGTTCAATATTGCATTCCATCCCACCATTTTCTCTGTTGCATCATATGTTCTTACTATCTGCGCTTCAATAATAAATAATAAAATACGAGAGACACATATGTACAATTTTTGTAGTTAAATATCTTATCAAATACATTTGCTTTGCGTACAAAATCATACATATAGTCTTGATTAAAATGATAATTTTGATATTAAGAATTATCTCAAAGTATATTATTAACATCAGCATATTCGATTCTAATTTAATTTTTGTGAAATTTAATAAATTTGTTTGATAGAATACTAAATGAAGAATTATTAATTGCATTTAATTGCATGCATTTGTTATTCGTTCTTATATTGAATATTTGAATTCAAAATCTATTATAGTTGCAATTTTTTAATATACATGAATTTTTAATACATAAATTTCGTATTTCTATATTATTCTACATTATATTAAAGAAATCTTTAATTTATTATTATATTTTCTCCTTAAATAAACAAATATTTTTAACAGTAATCAAATCGACAAGAAAACAATCTTAAATTGTAAATCCAATAATTAATTTTAAATTATTATTATACTTATTTCTAAATAATATAAAACATTTAATAAATATTAATTTTTCTATAAATAAATAAAAAGAACACGAAGAAAAAATTAATAATTAATAATTGTCATTAATATAATGTACATATATACATACAATTAACAAGCAATTTGTCTTACGTCTTTTTACATTTTTTGTCTTTTTCAAAAACGTTAAACTGCGCTGAGTTAAATGTTTGAGTAAATTTTAATTAGAAGGTTTTCATTACATTTCTAGGCAGGGCTTGTTAGCTATCGGCTTCGAAATACCATAGAATATCGTGGCGGCCATAAGAGCGGCCCCGCGGAATATTCATGGGGCCTGAGCCCGAATTCTAGGGGACGCTAGCGCCTGTTGAGCGACTATTTCGCAGAAATAATATAATTCTGCTGGCTGTAAAGGTTAAACGAGGGTTCTCAGCCTTCAATTATCGGAGACCGTCCGCAGGCAGCAACATGCCGGAATATTCTTAAGGCGCCCGGCTCTCGGCGATCGACTCGAGAGTCTTATAACTACGGTCGGCCGTTTTAACGTTTACGACCTGCGAGCTATAACTCGTAAAAATGTCGATCGGATTTGACGCCCGCGTTAAATGAAAAAATCGGTTTGCCGCGCTCGATGAATAATAGAGAGAGCCCGTATAACATCCAAAAGGAGCTTTATTATTTAATTACGAGCGAAGCCCGTACTTAAACACAAATAATATCTCTTGAAAACTCGAAAAGTTATACTGTAGGAGCTAAGAAAATATAAGAAACATTACAAAATTTTTTAAATTCTTATATTTATTGCCACAAAAATAGAAAATTTTTCTGTGTTGTGTGACAATGTATTGTGTTAAACGGAGCGAAAATGCCACATCGGTACTTATGAAAAATTCAAGAGGTCCTTCGAGAAAGATCCATTTTCCAAAAGCACACGATTCCAATGACCAGTTTAACATAATGTATTGTTGCACGATGCTGAACGATATTCTGTCTTTTCATTTTTAACTTCTAATGGAGATCGTGAAAGCATTAACATCATATAGAATAGTAAATATATATATATATATATATATATATATATATATATATATATATAATTGTAAAAATATTTTTTTTTATTAAAAACATCTATTCCATATAATATTAAGTAATATAATGATTTCAAATCTTTCAAAAAGAAATAACTGTGCAAATGGGTATACGAAAAAAACTAATCGAGAATACAAAGTACATTATAGATAAGAGTAGATATAGAATGATTAAGAGAGATTAGATAGGCAGAAATAGAAATAAATATAAATTTATTCAAAAGTATATTAGTGAAAAGTATATTATGATAAACTTCAAATATTCTCGTCTTTATTCTAATACTTATTACGTAATCGCTTCAATCCAATAATTTTTCTATTAGTGCAAAATGTTTTTGTATAAAGCAG